GCACGTACAGCGGCCCCGCCACCAGCCCCGCCGCCGCCGCCACCAGCCCCGCCGCCCGCCGGGGCAGCGCGGGCAGCGGCGCCGTCAGCACCAGCAGCCCCGAGGGGAAGGGCGGCATCGCCCCGCCGGATGCGCCGCCGACCGGAACGGGGACGGGACCGGCAGCGGAACGGCACCGCCTCCCGGGCAGCCCCGGCGCGGCTCCGCCCGCGGGAGGAGGAGACCGGCAGGCCCGGCCCCAGTGCGGCCCCGCCTGGGCGGGACTGAGCGACAGGGACGGAGCCGGAGCTGTGCGGCTACAAAGGGCTTTATTGGGGACACGGCAGGACCGATCCCCCACGGCAGGACCGATCCCCCACGGCAACGGGTCCCCGTGTCCCGGCGGCTCCGCTCAGGGCTGGTCCCCGCTGACTTCGCTGCCGCCGAACACGAAGTCGTGCATGGCGCGGACGTACGTGGAGCCGTCGGGGCTGCCGAGCCGCAGGCGCCAAAGCGGGGCGAGGAGCTGGGTGCTGGCGCAGCGCAGGGGCGGGCAGAGGCTGACGATGGCCTCCAGGAACACCTGGCACCGCAGAGGGGTCAGAGCCGTCCCCGGCGCGGCTCCACGGCCACCCCCGTCCCGCGCGGACTGACCGGCAGGACCTCCTCCACCTCCTGGGCCGCGTCGCGGAAGAGGCTTTGGCAGTGCCGCAGGTATCGGCGGTACAGCCCTCGCGTCTCAGCATCCAGGCCCTCCAGCTCGCTGCCCTCGGGGTCCGGGCACTGTAGGTTGGCCAGGAAGCTGGTGTGGACGGGCCCGCACTCCACCAGTGTCACGCTGCGGGAAGGAGCGCGTGAGACGACACCGTATCCCCGCTCTGGCATCTCCCCGTCCCGGTGGGCGGTCGGCAGGATCCAGCCCCCGCGGCACCGCCGGCACTCACTGGATGTTGAAGGGGCGCAGGACGATGGCCAGGCTCTCGCACAGCCCCTCCACCGCAAACTTGCTGGCGCAGTACACGGCATTGAAGGGCAGCCCTGGGGCAGAGCCAGACCCTGAGCACTGGGGCTCTTCCCCGTGGCTCCCCATGCCCCAGGGTGCCGGGTGTCCCACCTTGCAGCCCCCCGATGCTGCTGGAAACAATGATCCGCCCGGCCCTGCGGCGCTTCATGGCAGGCAGGAATGCCTGGATGGTACGGACGGCCCCAAAGAAGTTCACATCGAAGAGGGTTTTCATGGCCTGATCGGAGCAGGTCTCCAGAGGTCCCATCAGTCCCACCCCCGCGTTGCAGACTGCTGGGCAAGGTGCAGTCAGCCGGGCACTGCAGCCCCCACACACCACCGAGTGCCAGAAGGCAGGAATGGGGGGGCCTTTCTGTGCTGATGGGCCCTTGGCACCCCCAAACCCATCTCCTGCACGCCTGTCCTGCTGAACGTGTCCCATCCCAGCCTCAGGACTACTGGCATCTCCCGTGATTTGGCATCTACATTCTGGGAGGCTTGTGACCCTGATGATGTCCCCCCAGCCACCCAAGGGACAGCAGGGGCAACGGGAAGAGTCATACCCAACACGTCCAGGTGCTGCTCCTGCACCCGCTGCACGGCAGCTGCCAGTGAGTGTGGGTCAGTGACATCGAGCTGCAGGACCTCCAGCGTGTCAGGGCAGTGGCTGCCCAAGTGCTCCAGCAGCCGCTCGCCCTTGGTCAGGTCACGCATGGTGGCATAAACTGGGGAGAGAGCGTGGCCATGGGCAGCAAGGCCACAGAGCCCACCACCCACAGGGCTGACCCCAGCCCACCCCCAGGCACTGTTTGCCCTTGTTGAGGTGTTGCCTGGCCCAGCCCGGAGACCCCCAGGGGTGCTGGACCCCCCGGGGCAGCATTGTCCCTTTACCTTTGAAGCGGTGAGTGCTGTCGGCTGCCAGGCGTGTGGCCAGTCCCAGCCCAATGCCCGAGGAGCAGCCCGTGATCAGCACAGTGGTTCTCTCCATGGCAAGCAGTGCTGGCCGAGGGGGCCGTGCTGCTTAAGAGGGCTGGGAGGGGGGTCCCCCCACCCCACGCCACATTGTTGTGTCTGCTGCCTTATCTCAAGGCCCCTCCACCGACCTCCCTGAATGTGCCTGGGGCTCCCTGGGCCTTGATGCTCTCGCAGGTGCTGCGATAACGACCTGCGGGGGGAGGCTCTGGGGCACAAGGGGAGCTGCAGCCCCGGGGAATCCGCACCAGTCACCAGTCACGCTGTGCTGTGCCAGGCACTCCAGCTCCCAGGACTTGCCTGGCAGTGCATTGTTCCTGCTATGTGGGCTTAGAGCCAAGCTGCTCCTCTACCCCTTGTGTTCCACACAGTCCTGCACTGGGGAGACGAGTTGGACACGCATAGGAGAAAAAAAGTCTTTATTTGCTCCACAGCCGGGCTCTACCTGAGCTCCAGCTGGAGAAAAGGCCTCAAAAACCCCATCCTGATGAAGCACGGCCCCAGCAATGCTGCAGGAAAGTCTTTTATGATACAGAAGGCACCAAACATGGGCAGGGCCATGCAGTACTTGGTCCCCGCAGGCACTGGGGTCCAGGGCTGCTCTGCCCCCACACCACTGCCACCTCCCTGTCTGCTTCTCCACCACCACTGCCCCTCTAAGCCAGCCAGGACCCCACAGCAGGGACACGTCTGTCCTGACCCTCTGCAGAATCCCCCCAAGCTTCCAACTGGGAGCACTGGGGCAGCCCAGCTTTCCAGGGGATAGGCTCAGGGCAGACAGGCAGGGCTGGGCACAGAGTACAGTGCAGGATGTGTCCCTGAAGCACAGCCTGCCCCTCATCCATCTGCTAGCCCCCCTCAGGGCACGTCCTGCCTACACAGGAGAAACAAGGGGTCCAGGCTGGCTGGGTGCAAGCAGGGCTCTGTGCCCCCCTTCCAGTACAGCCAGGACGCAGCCATCAGGTCAGGAGTTGCAGGAGCCTTGACCAGGAGGGCACGAGGGCTCTGCCCTCCCTTCCTGGGGGAGGCCCCGGAGGCACAGTCCAAAGTCATGCCAGCCCAGCCCGGCTGCGCCACAGGGCACTGGGGTAGTATTTGAGGAACAGCTTCCTGGAGATCTCCAGCGTGTCCCCAGCTGGCACGGCCGGGTAGTGCTTCTTGTTGTAGACGAAGCCTCTCTCCACTTGGAAGACAGCCTGGTTGAACTCGTCCTGGTGGAAGGGGCGGCCTGAGTTGAGGCTTTCCACCAGCACAGAGACGAAGAGGCTCCAGCGCACTCCATAGTAGTCCAGCACCAGCCCCCCCAGCTGCTTGTTGGCATAGTCGAGGATGTTCCCACTGGGCCCCCAGAGTGTCACCTGGTTCCGGGCGTTCAGCTCGTACTGCTCTGCCTCCCGGTCGCTGGTGGCCATGGCGCGGGCACCCTCCAGCCAGCGGCCGAGCAGGAAGAGGCTGTGGCTGGAGAGGAGGCTGTCCAGCTCGGGCAGCAGGTCGTACACCAGCACGCCACCGGCCGTCAGCAGCTCTGGCAGCGCGTGCCTCTGGAAGGCGCTGCGGATGTCCAGGTAGTAGTTGCTCACCAGCTGCTGGGCCGCCTGCCGCGTCACGTCCACCAGGTCGTAGCGGAAGAGGGGGCTGGAGCCCAGCTCGGCGCTGGCGCTCAGCAGCAGGCGCCAGGCCTCGTACACATCGCTGGCGTTGTACCAGAGCTCTGTGTCCATGTGCAGCGAGGGCCGGCGCACCAGTGGGCTGCGGTTGTGGTTGACGCAGACGCCGGTGCAGTTGTACACGCTGCGGAGGAGCAGGCGCCAGGCGCCGGCGGCAGCAGCGTTCGGGGAGCCATAGCGGCGCTCAGCGTAGCGGGACACCCAGCTGGGGAGGTCGAGGGGCTCCTGCCGCCAGCCCAGCTCATTCATCAGCTCGTACACCATGTCATTCTGCTCGATACCCTCAGGCACCAGCCCCGTGCCCACCATGGTGGAGTTGGGGAAGCGCCGAGCCATGAAGGGGCCACGGTTGATGGCCTCCACGGTGCCGAAGAGGCCGTGGTTGCCCCCGAAGTTGTGCAGCATGCACCAGATGAAGGGTTGCCCGTAGAAGGACTCTGTCCACTGGTAGACAGGCTTGGACTCAGCAAAGAGGTCAAGAACAATCATCTTGCCGAGGGGCACGCCGTGCAGGAGGGCCCGCACCTGTGCCGGGTGCCAGAAGTCTGGCTGGTGCTGGAAGAGCCAGCCCTGCATCAGCCACAGCGCCTCGGGGTCAGCTGGGGATGGAGGAGCACAGGGTGAGGTCCCCTCCAGGCAGGGCCCACAGGTGTCCCAGGAGGCCCTGGGGCCACCAACCACCCCTTGTGGAAGGGGTTTTGAGGGTCTGGCACCAACAGGGTCTGTCGAGCGCAGGCAGCTCAGTGCTTGCATGGGGCCCACAGCCTCCTTCCCCAGCCCATTATCCCACCTGCAGCCTCACAGCCGGGCCAGCACCGCACACTGACCCACCTCCTGTCATCGACCTGAAGACAGCATTGCTGACCCTCGAGAGATAGGCAGGGTCAGAGGAGAGGGGGGTCATCTCATTGAAGGTGTCAGCACTATAGACGTGGTCTGTGCCGAATTCCTTGATCAGCTCCTTCAGGAAGAGGGTCCCGATCACCTGGAACATGGGGTCCTCTGGGTCCAGCAGGTAGATACATGAGTAGGTGCAGTCGAAGTGGCTCCAGCCCCCCAGGCGAGTGGCGTTCACGCGTGGGAAGACCCTGCGCCAGAGGGCAGAGATGGGGATCAGGAGCAGGGCAGGACAGGAGCACTGTGCCCCTGCAGGGACAGTGCACCCTCTCAGGGAAGCTGCAGGTGAGAGGTGCCATAGGTACCATAATGCTGAAGGTGGGACCCTGGAAAGGGCCCAGGGCAGCACCTACCGAAGGATCCCCTGCGGCACATGGCCCGCGAAGGCTGGCAGCACTGTGGTCATCCCCAGCGAGCGCATCCGCTCCACGATCCGGTACTGGGAGAGAGAAGGAGGGAGAGAGCAGGGAGAGAGGAGCCCACACCTCCCCGCGAGGGGCTCCGAGAGCTGCTGGAGCTCGGGGAGGGACGTGGGGGTCCCCGAGGCTCCGTGAGTGCAGCCAGGGCAGGGGGTTGCAGGGGTCTGCCCCGGGCGGGCATGGCTGCCCCGGTACCTGCAGGTAGAGCTGCTTGAGGTGCCAGGCGGGCGGCAGCGGTCCGGCCCAGCGGCGGAGGTTCCCCATCCTGTTCCAGGCCAGGAACGCGGGGCCTGTGAAGTACTTGTCGATCTCCGACTGGTTCAGCCCGAGGTTGCGGTAAACCTGCGCCGGGCGCCGGGCGTCAGCCGGTCCCGGTGTCTCCCGGTCCCCGCCGCCCTCCCTGCCCCGCTCCTCACCCGCTGCCACACCGCCTCCTGCCCAGCGAAGGCCGGCGCCAGGTTGATGCCGCTCAGCGCCATCCAATCGATCTCCCGCTCCCAGCGCGCCCAGTCCCACCAGGCGAAGGAGTAGCTCTGGGCGCACACGTTCTGGTAGTAGCGGTACCTGCGGGAGCGGCGGAGGCTGCGCCCGGGCCGCCCCGCGCCCCCGGGGCCCCCGTTACATAACGGCGCCTTGTCCCGCGCTAACGAGGCGTGAGCGGCGCCGCGCGGCCCCGCGGCCCCGTTACCTGCCGTTACCTGCCGGGGGCGGCGGCGCGGATCTCGGCCCGCAGCCGCGGCAGCGGGTCGGGCAGGCGGAGCTGCGCCCCGGACCAGGACAGGTGGCAGCCGCAGAAGTCGCGCAGGTAGCGGTAGAGGCCGGCGGCCGCCGCCACGCCGCTGGAGCCCGTCACGGCCACGGCCACGGCGGCGCCGGGCGGCGACCACAGCCGGTACGCGTCGGGCCCGCCCGCCGCCAGCGCCGGCTCCACCG